GTTTTTTTTTTATATATATGTTTGTTTAATTTTTCTTTTTTGTATATGTTGTTCTTTGTTTTGTATTGTTTTTATTTTTTTTGTAAAATTTATAAAAATTTTAATAAAAAAAAAAAAAAAAAAAAAAAAAAAAAAGCTAGAGTATATTTACCTCTTTCATTAAAAGTGAAAAGCTGCAGTGGCCAGAAAAATATATTGTTATAAAACTCACTTCAAATGTGTGAGTTTCATACTACCTTCAAAATAATAAGAAGCAAAAACTATATTCCTGTATCTCTCCAGAGGTATTTTACTTCAATGTCCATCACCACCAAGCTGGCTGAAGAGAACTAAGAACTGAAAAGAAAACTGTTGTGAATGCCAGGTGTGCCAGGCAGCTTAGCATGATATGAATACAGTCAGAATAGATTTATAATTATAATAAAACTTGGTTTTGCTGAACTAAGTGAGGCACAGGATGTCTGTAATTCTCTAAAGCCTGTTCAATGAAATAGCACTTCATTGCAGTGACATAATTGATGGAAATTCATCATTTGCATCATTATGTCATCTACATGATGAGTTTGTTCTTCTCTAATGCATCCATAGACTTTTGCCTGGAAATCTTATTCAGAGTTACTAAGACTCTTTTAAGAAAAGATGGGTAATACAAAGCTCCTTCAAGCATAATGGATGAATTTGTGGATTTCTTGGTAAATAAAGTTACTTGAATTTATTCTGTCAATTGGACAGAGGTAGTGTATTATTGTAATGAACAAGGCAGTATTATTGAGATTCCTTTCATATTATAAGGTTCAAATAAATGAACAGGATTAGGTATGCTATGAGTCCTGATACCTATGAGCTGGATCCATATTTCTCCAGCTTCTTTGGACAGTCAGTAGGATGTGAGTGATTAGACAAGGAAATTGTCAATGGTTCTTTGAAGGTGTGAATAATGCTTCTTACCTTGATGGAACTCAGTTATTGAAGGTCCTAGAAGAAACAGATTATCTGTATTTGTGATAGTCAGAATTCAGGCCCAAATCATGGGGCAAAAATGGCATTGTTAGCTATATTAGATGACCTTCGTTGGAACAATGATGAAGGAATGTAACCCTCTTAGTCTTTTGGGACTTATTGGTGACACTTGATACCATCACTCAAGGGGTGGGAATTGGGGAGCATTGCTTTATAGTAGTTTTGCTGCTATCTGAATTGTGAAGAAGCAGCACTCACATTTCTGGTTGCTTTAGTGTGATGTGCTACAGAAGTCTTTTCCTCATGTTATCTAATATTTACAGTATATGAAGTTGGTGGAAAAAGTCATTCGTCAGTTTAATATATTGATTACACTTAACTATATTTTGTCATCCTAGGCCAAACCAGAGCTGCCCTGGAAAGGTTGAATGAGTATCTGGGTGGATCTGGATGGATCCAGAATCTTGATTTAATCAGCTCAAATTAAATTTTATCAGGACCAAATTGTTTCCCATCAATTCACATTAGAGTGATCTGATAAAAGGGATGTTGGTAGTTACTCTAGATATGGACATACATCCACAAAGATGTTGGTTTGTGAATTGGAGCTTTTCCTGGTCTTATGGTTCCTGTTTAAACAGGTGAAGATTGTGGCCAAGGAGGACTTTACACAGGAATAGTTGGTATGCCAGTACAACTCCTTCTGCTCCAATATCAGCTCACTCAAGCCTTAATTATTATGCATTTAGATTACTGCAGTGCATTCTCTGTTGCCTTTGAAAATGCTTTGGAAACTGTAACTTCAGAATGCAGTGACTAGATTGCTGGCCAGATAAGTTCACAGTTGCAGCTAGTATCAATTACAGGATCACTACATTGGATATTAATATGCTTCTAAGTCTAATTCAAAGTGCTGGCTTTTATCTACAAAGTCCTTTCTAGCATCTTGAGAGCGCCTCCTAAAATAATTGGGTTGATGGCAGTTCTTTTCTTTAGTGGCTCCTATGCTCTGGTACATGGTTTCCTGAATATAGCCTTCTTCCTCTTTGCAATTTGCAAGGTAGTGAAAACATTCTTATTCCACTGGGGGTTTGGTTCTGAAAGGAAAGATTGTGGACATTTTCTCATGTCATGTTCTGTTTTACCTTGAATATTATACTATCATGCTGTGTTATACGTCATCCAAGGTACTATGATTGTGGGTCTACAAATATTATAAATAAACATTTTTCTACAACATATATAATATAATTTTCTACAATTATGAAATATAATTTATTATATTTTAGTTATTATAAATAAAGCAATTTCTGTTATATCATCATTACACAAATGTTGCAAATTACAACAGAATTTGGTCTGTTGCACCAAAATCCATTGGAGTAACCTCTGGAAAATTAAAGTTTTACTGTAATTATTTTTGTCTTAACATAATATATGAATCCATGATTTATTCTTGATAATGAACAAATCATGGTTAAGCAAGCTATGGCTTAATGTAATGTGTGAACTTGACCAATCAGTTATTATTTATTTATTACCTTTTTTTGGCACCAAATTATCTGGAATTTGTAACTATAGAATAACTTGGGTTTTGAGAATTTATGAAAGAATTAACACATCTATGTAGTTCATAGAAATGTTAGGCTGGTCTGTCTATAGACACTTCTGACAGTGACTCAGTAATGTCAGATGGTTCAAAATTCAGCCAATTTTTTAAAACTGAAGTTTAAAGCAGAGGCCCCAAACCTTTTGGGCACCAGGGACCGGTTCTGTGAAAAAAGATTTTTTCGCAGACCAGAGGGGCGTGGTTTTGTGTGTTGCCTGCATCCAGCGGATGGGGCTTTGCTTGTTTGTGCGGACCGATTGCTGGCATGCCGTAGCTTGGTGCCAGTCCACGGACTGGGGGTTGGGGACCCCTGGTTTAAAGCACAAATTATAGCACTCTAATCCTACATCTACTTTATTTAAAAAAATTATGAACATAGTGTAAAGTGCTGGTATTAATTTTAAATCCTTTAAATGCACAGAAACAAGATACTATACAGAGTGATATTTCCCATATCACAGTAACTTGCTTGACCTTCCGAAGCCCTTCTTTTTGTCACCTCCTCTTGTAAAGGCCTTTTCTGTGAAAGTGTATAATCTACAGTTATTTATTTGATTGATTTATATTTCACCTTTCTGATCAAACGATACTCAATGGAATGGCATTTGTTTAAATTATCAGTTTGGTTCCTTACATTTTGGAAGGAAAAAATTGATACCCAAGTGGTAACTAGGATTTGATAATGACTCTTGATGGCATATAATCAGTCCTTCCATTTTTAGGTAATAATTTACTAATTTAAGACTAATTTGTTTCAAGTTTTGATTAAGTATTGCTACATTGCTACATCTTGTGGTTTTGTTCATGATTTAATTGTGAGTCCCATGTAACTGTATTTAAAAGTAAGACCCATTAAATTAAACGGAACTTACTTGCAGTAAATTAATGTAAAATTACAGAATATCTTGCTTTTTGGATATCCATTTTGAACAGAATAATAGAAGCAAATATAAATTTTAAAAAATCAATAACAGATTTCTGATAATGTGAATGAGTCTCATGGCAGAAACATACAGTAGAGAATAAATGTGAGGCTGAATTTAAGTGAGCAGCAGTAATAGAAGACAAGAACAAGGTAAAGTGATGAAATGAATGAATATGGTTCCAGATTATTTGTAGGATTGCCTCTCCCCAGGGTATGTGCCTGTTAAGCAAGTCAAATAGTGCAGGTGTACTACAGGTCTCCTCCTTTAAATGTTGTAATCTAGTCGGACCTGGGAAATGCACCTTTTGGTAGCAACCCCTGCCCTGTGAAAAAGTGACATCCAGAAGGCCATCATCCTACTAGCTATCTAGAAAACCTTGAAAAGCTGGTTCCCGTCCCCCCAAATTTGCGTTAGGATGAAGCTGGAGCCCAGACAATGTCATTGTTTATGTATAGAGGGGTATAGTTTTAGGAAATTGAAGGTTGTTTCAGAGGTTAGTTTTAGACTTTCTGTTACATTTTTATTTGCAGCTTGTGATTATGGTATATATGTATTTTCTCAATTTACATGGCGATCCATCTCAGATATTTAGCCAAGGTAAAAAAACAAAACAACAATAAATTGACACAGTTGTTAAATGGACTCTGCCCACATCAAGATCCCCTGGTATAGGCTGGCTTGGTCGCTCAACAGGGAGACACTGGTGAAGTGGACACAGCAGCGGCTGCATTTTCTCTGTCGCATGAAAAAAGTACATCTTCTTTCCCCTATCCTTACCACTTTCTATAGAGGGATGATCAGGAGCATACTGTCATATTGCATTACAGTCTGGTTTGGAAGCATCACTGTTTCAGACAGGAAGGCAGTGCAGAGAGTGGTGAGAATGGCACAAAGGATTATTGGCAGTTCCCTCCCTTCCATCCAGACATAGCATATGAGCGTTGCTTGAGCAGAGTCTGCAGGAATGTCTGGGACACTATACATCATTTTCACGACCTGTTTTCCTTGTTACCTTCTGAGAGGAGGCTTTGTGGTATCCGAAGCAGAACATTCAGATTCAGTCACAGTTTTGTTCCATACAGTATTAAACTTGTGAACTCTCAAGTTTCTTCTTTCCATATGTATTCAAGATGGACAGTGATTAATATTTATATGTATTTATATGTAAGGGTGTAGGTATATAAATATATTTTATATAGCATGTTTATATGTGTGTTATGTATGTGTGCACTTTTCAGAGAAGGCAACAGAATTTCATTTTTAATGTGTTCAAGTGTGTCCACAGTAAAAAAATGACAATATTCTCTTATATAAGATGAATTTAATAATAATAATAATAATAATAATAATAATAATAATAATAATAATAATAATAATAATAATAGTAAAGTTGGAAGGGACCTTGGAGGTCATCTAGTCCAACCCCCTGCTCGGGCAGGAAATATAAGCCATATAAGTCAAATAAACTTTCTTATTGGATAAGTTAATATTACTTTGATTTTCAGATAAACATCATGTGAATGGGAATAGTATGGTTGAACCCTTTCCAGAAGGAATGCAAGTGGCAATATTTGGTAAGTTCAATTTGTGTAATATTGGGACTTTATTTCTGACTAGACATATATTAAATAATCCTGTTTTTCTATTATTAATATTAATGAATATCACTGTAATTCTTTTCTTCAAGAAACTGTTTACCATTATTATCTCTTTTTAAAATGATAACTTATCCAAGTATGGATGAATTTGAATTTTTTATATCCAGTCTAGTCTTTTGACTTGTTAATAGAAACACCCCTCCAACACACCCAGATATGGGTATTGTACCTGGGATGAAAAATGAATTAAGATTGCTATATGGAATAAGAGAGTCAGTTTGATATAATGGTTAGAAACTGGGAGACTGAGTTCTAGGCCTGCCTTGGGCACAGAGCTAGCTGGGCAACTTAGGACAGTCACCCTCTCTTAGACTTGGGATACAAGAAAGGTCAAACTCCTTCTGAAATCTTGCCAAGGAAAATGAGACCAAGCAGTAACCAGAAGTAAAAACTGACTTGATGGTACACACACACAAAATTAAACAAAGCATTCATGTAATGATGGATTAAAACTCAGTCCTAATGCATTACAATAAAGAATACATTCACTATTGTTCCTAGTTATTTTTTTAGAAGGGATTGGCAAAAGACATTAATCATTATTGTAGTTAGCCAGAAGCTATTTTAAACATTATAGGGTACAAATATAAATGTGGTTCTTAGAAATCAGTAGAAATCAAATATACTTTTATGATTAAGGATTTCTAGTCAATGGTTTACAGTGACTTAGCTGTTTCTCAAAAGGGATATGTGTTCTATTATCTTAATGGTAAGTTACAATCTTGTAAAGAGTTTAGTTATGCTAAAGCTTATGGTGTAACTCGACAGTTAAATGGAATTTGAAATATATAATTTGTCAAGAATTAAGATTATGTTTATAGGAGAAAAGTGGCAGAACCTGGGGGTGGAAAGAGGAAACAGCCTAGAATCCCTACATAGCCACCAGCAGTCTAGGTCCAACTCCCCCTTAAATTCTATTGGTTGGCTGTTGTAATATGCTAGACTTATTATATATTTATTTACAAGATTGTTCATTGCCTCAGTCATAGCACTCTGGGTGAGGTGCAACAAAGCAAAGAACATTGAACAGAAATAAAAGAGAATCAGTGCATTTTACCCCACTCCCAAATTGCAAATAAATACACAGATGTCTGCTATTATTCACAGTGGTTCTAAAGCTTGATAGGATCTTCCACCTTGATATATGGCAAGCTGTAGTTCAAATTTGGGTATGGAAAATAAATGAGGAAACTAATCAATATAAGTTCACTGCGTAACTTGGGGAAGTCACTGTCTCCCAGACCAAACTATTTTACTCAGTTATTTTGTGGGATGGTGCTATTTACATCATATTTAGCTCTTGAGGAAATGTGCAATGTAAAGGTAAAGAATTTGGTTTACTTCATTTCATAGCGCATAATAAGAGGACAAGTATACCAAAACGCTGAATCATTTTTGCAACTCTTGAGATATGTCTTTATGTCAGTTAACCTTACCATAATCTTTGGAACATTACCCTTTGATTAATTAGCATGAAAATGTCCTTTGTCTCTCAGGAAAGTCAAGTATAACTCTTGTCTTAAAAAGCAGATTCTTACTCTTACCTCATGGTGAGATGAGCAGCAAACAAATTCAATAAATAAAATAAAATTGCTGGAATTTGACACAATAGTGTTGATTCTGATTTGTTTGGGGTTTTTTGGAGAAAGAATATTTTTGATATTACCTAGAGAAGACTGAAAGACTCTCCTGAGCATTAGCTATCAACTATTTTTATGTGCTATCATATTATTTTTGGCATCATACACATTTTCATAGGAATAAGCAGATTATTAATTCACCAATTCATACCTGGCAGGAATAGCCAACACTCCAGAAGATAGGCTCAAGATACAGAAGGATCTTGACAAACTTGAGCATTGGGCCCTAGCTAGCAAAATGAAATTCAATGGTGAAAAAAGTAAGGCAAGAAAAACAGGTATACTTATCAAAAACAGTAGTAATTGTGAGGGATCTTAGAGTTCTAGTGGACAATCACTTAAATATGAGCCAGCAGTGTGCTGCAGCTGCCAAAAAAGCCAATGCAGTCCTAGGTTACATTAATAGAAGGATAGAGTCAAGATCACATGAAGTGTTAATACCATTCTATAATGCCTTGGTAAGAACACTTGGAATACTGCATCCAATTTTGGTTGCCACGATGTAAAAAAGATGTTGAGATTCTAGAAGGAGCACAGAAAAGAGCAACAATGGTGATTAGGGGACTGGAGGCCAAAACATATAAAGAACAGTTGTTGGAATTGGGTATGTCTAGATTAATGAAAAGAAGGACTAGGAGTGACATGATAGCAGTGTTCCAATATCTAAGGGGTTGCTATAAAGAAGAGGGAGCCAGTCTGTTCTCCAAAGCACCTGAAGGCAGGACAAGAAGCAATGAATGGAAACTAATCAAGGAGAGAAGTAATCTAAAACTAAGGAGAAATTTCCTGACAGTTAGAACAAATTAATCAGTGGAATGACTTGCCTCCAGAAGTTGTGGATTCTCCAAAACTGGAGGTTTTAAAGAAGAGATTGGACAACCATTTGCCTGAAATGGTATAGGGTTTTCTGCCTGAGGAGGGGGTTGGACTAGAAGACCACCAAGATCCCTTCTAACTCTGTTATTCTGTTAAATTAAAACTGTTTAGATTGTTAGCTCAAGTTATGGCTTCTTAGAGTGGTCTGGGAAAGCACAGATTGGCAGATTAAAACACCTGTACTGCTTCCTTTCCTTCCCGAGCATCAGGATGACCCAGTTCCCAATCAAACAACAGCTGCCAATTAAACGTGGGGGAGTGGAAGGGGGGGGACAAGATATCTGCCTGGATACTCTGCAGTCTTATTCCTCCTTTAGATGTGGTGTGAACTAAAAGTTTTGCTAGTTGTTTCTCTCAGCTGGAGTCAAGAAATAGAAAAAGAGAACAGTTAAACAAGCCAAGCAGGGAAAAAAACAAGCAGAAAAGCCTTTGACAGAACCGAAATAAAAAACAAAAACTAAAAAAGAAAGTATCAGCCCTTTCCCATAAATCAGGCAGGAAACACATCTGGATGAGCTATGTTAACAGAATCTTGCAAATCTGGAAGTACAAACTTCCTGCCACCATTTTTAACTGATTGATCCATTAGGGCAAGTCCTTTCTAAGTTCCTTTCTCTGGCGGTTAAGCCACTGGAGGCTCTTGCCTTTCTTGAGTGACTGTTTCCCAGGCAGCATTTCTTCCTCTTTCCCCTCAAGGTCATTCTCTTATTCCATTATATGAGGACAATTCAGAAATAAACCTCTGTTTGGTTATCAATGACAGACACTCGCAGATACAGAACTTTTATTATACACATTAGAAAACTACAACATTACATTATTTTTTGACATAATCGCCATTCAAATTGAGGCACTTGTCATAATGTCTTGAAATTCCTTAGTAGTAGTTGCTTGGCTCTAAATCTGTAAGGTGACCAACCGTCCTCCTTTAGGGAGGACAGTCCTCCTTTTGTAAGTTCTGTCCTCCCTCAAAAAGTGTCCTCCCACATGTCCTCCTTTTCAATATTTGAAGACTAATCTGCAGGGCTTTTTTTTCCCTCATAGAATGCTCAGAACGACGTTCCGGCACCTTTTTTTCATCTTTTTTTTCCCCAACTTTTGCATGAGCTGTGCTACTCCCACTATTGGCTTTCGAAAGCCAATAGGAATTGCTGCTGAGTGCGCCAAAACACCCAGCTGGCAAACTTTGCACATGCAAGTTGTCTGTATTATTGTTGCAATGAATAAAATGTTTCTTTTATTTACGATATTTTTTTCTTCAATTTATTTGTGTCCTCCTTTTCACTGTAAAAAAGTTGGTCACCTTAAAATCTGGGCTATGGGGTGTGTGTGCGTGATCAAAATCATCCCAATGGAACTGCTTCAAAAGTTCTTGGGTGCATTTAGTGGTGCACGGGTGAGCATTATCATGAACCAACACCACACCGGAAGTGGTGCCATAGAAGATCCTGCCAAATGTGAAGCTGCCAAAGGTGTATTGCTAGTGAAGTTCATGGAGTGTGGTTCGACCATCAATTCAGAAGTCTACTGTGAAATGTTTTGAAAACTCAGATGAGTTTTCCATAACAAGTGTCAAGGCATGCTGACTTTCAGTGTGGTGTTGGTTCACAATAATGCTCACCCGCACACTGCTAAACGCATCCAAGAACTTTTGAAGCAGTTCCATTGGGATGTTTTTGATTATCCCCCCATATAACCCAGATTTGGCACTAACCAACTACTACTAAGGAATTTCAAACCTTGTAAGATGTTATGACAAGTGCCTCAATTTGAATGGCGATTATGTTGAAAAATAATGTAATGTAGTTTTCCAATTATTTCTGAATTGCCCTCTATATAGTCATATGACAATATAGTGAAATTAAACTGAATATATTCTACATAGCTTATAGAAAATAATATTATTAGTTTCTGAAATAGCTGAATGCGTTTATAATTTACAATTACTTATGTATTTGGTAAGCTGAATAATAAAAATCTGCCCCAGACTTTGAAGGCTTGATACCAAAAAACCCAATCAGCTGTCCTACTTTCCAGTGCTCTACATATTTATTCAGTTAACTTTAATTTGAAATGTTCATACAGATTCAAAATCATCTAGTAGGATGTATAGTTGAACTGTCACTCCGATATGACATGGAGATAGAACAACTATGAAGATTTTCAATCATCCAGTGCATGATTGTCCCAAAGGTTGTTTTCCAAAAGGCAACTGGACTTTCTTGGATTTTTTTCTTCAAAAACATTTCACTTCTCATCCAAGAAGCTTCTTCAGTTCCAGTTCAGTTCTAATGATTTCCCACAAGCCACTTAGAACTGAAGAAGCTTCTTGGATGAGAAGTAAAACATTTTCAAAGAAAAAACCAAGAAAGTCCAGTTGCCTTTTGGAAAAGCACTTTT